GTCGAGAAATCGAGACCATCCTGGTCAACATGGTGAAACCCCGTCTCTACTAAAAATACAAAACATTGGCCGGGCGCGGTGGCTCAAGCCTGTAATCCCAGCACTTTGGGAGGCCGAGGCGGGTGGATCACGAGGTCAAGAGATCGAGACCATCCCGGTCAACATAGTGAAACCTCGTCTCTACTAAAAATACAAAAAATTAGCTGGGCATGGTGGCGCGTGCCTGTAATCCCAGCTACTCAGGAGGCTGAGGCAGGAGAATTGCCTGAACCCAGGAGGCGGAGGTTGCGGTGAGCCGAGATCGTGCCATTGCACTCCAGCCTGGGTAACAAGAGCGAAACTCTGTCTCAAAAAGAAAAAAAAACATTAGCTGGGCATGGTGGCTCGTGCCTGTAATCCCAGCTACTCAGGAGGCTGAGGCAGGAGAATTGCCTGAACCCAGGAGGCGGAGGTTGCGGTGAGCTGAGATCGCGCCATTGCACTCCAGCCTGGGTAACAAGAGCAAAACTCCGTCTCAAAAAAAAGAAATACACTGGTTTGGTTCAGAAAGGTGGGACAACTCAGTGGGGCGGTGGTGGAGGTTTCAGGTTATAGGTGAATTGAAACATTTTCTTGTTAACAATCAGTTGAGTGTCCAGGTGCGGTGGCTCACGCCTGTAATCCCACCACTTTGGGAGACCAAGGCAGGTGGATCACAAGGTCAGGAGTTCGACACCATCCTCGCCAATATGGTGAAACCCTGTCTCTACTAAAAATATATATATATAAAAAATTAGTTCAGCATGGTGACATGCGCCTGTAATCCCAGGTACTTGGGAGGCTGAGGGAGGAGTCTTTCGACAAACTTGACCAATTGTTGTTGTTTTGTTTTTTTGAGATGAAGTCTTGATCTGTCACCTAGGCTGGAATGCAGTGGTGCAATCTTGGCTCACTGCAACCTCTGCCTCCCAAGTAGCTGCGATTACAGGCGCCTGCCAATGCACCTGGCTTATTTTTGTATTTTTAGTAGAGACAGGGTTTTACCATGTTAGCCAGGCAGGTTTCCAACTCCTGACCTCGTGATCCACCTGCCTCTGCCTCCCAAAATGTTGGGATTATAGGCATCAGCCACCACGCCTAGCCAAAATTATTGTGAAGTATTATAGTGGCTGCCCTTTGAGATAATGTATGACAATTATTTTCTATTCAGATCCTAGTTAATCTCTAGGATAGAGAGGGTCTGGAAGAAGATCTAGCTATGTTAATAGAGATTGTTTACAGATGCGGATTTCCCTCACAAAAACAGCTTTGCAGGGCCATTTCAAAATATGGCAAAGAAACATGTTTTAGGGTAAAATATTTGGATTTTTTTCTTTGTCTCCTAGATGTTACACCTGAGTCAGGTTGGAAAGTAAGTCACGATATATAGAGTTAAATAAAACCCATCTGATGAGAATTTATGATTTGTAGGACATGACTCCCCAGGTCCCCTAGATAGGAATTTGGGCAAGATAAAACAAATCAGAGTTTAGTCCTCATTAGGATGTCAGCAAAGTTGATCTCAGAAATATTTGAGATTAACTCATCTTGCATAGAATAAAATAACAAATGTAGTTAGGCACAGTGGCTCTGGCCTGTAATCCCAGCACTGTGGGAGGTTGAAGTGAGGATTGTTTGAGACCAAGAGTTTGATACCAGCCTGCCAATACACAGAGACTCCATCTCTACTTAAGAAAAAACAAACAAAAATAGCAGGGTGTGATTTCTCATGCCTGTAGTCCCAGATACTCAGGAGGCTGAGGTGGGAGGATCACTTGAGCCTGTAACTTCCAGCCTGCAGTGAGTGGTAATCATACCACTGTACTCCAGTCTGGAGGACAGAAGGCCCTGTTTCAAATAAATAAATAAATATGAATAACAATAGCAAAGAAAAACTATGTAATTAATATCTACTTTAAACAAGATACTGCTTCTTATTTAAAGCATAAATTGGCGTTCTAACTTATCACTGAATCTAAAGCTGCCTTTGCCAAAAATATGATAGTGAAAGAAATAAAACTTAATTTAATTATTACCACAGAAGCTGTGTTTGCTCATTCTTGGGCATTGGCTCAGCTAACTATGGAAGGAATTCAGTTTATAGTTATCACTTTGAAGAAAGGACAATAGTAGTTCCTTCCCAACCTGACCCTCTCTGTAAGATTGATGAAAGGCCACAAAGTTAGGATTATGGGAGGTACCTGTATTCTGCTAAAATGTAGCTGTAAACATTAACCACCCATTATTATGAAGGTCACAAGATTTGTAATTTTCCTAATTGCTCCTGTAGATAGCATCACTTTTGTCAAAACTTAAGATTGGTCTTTGAGGTGTTTTTCAGACTTTTCCAATTGGGCAGACCAGCTTTTTAAATTTTTTTTTTTTTTTTTTTTTTTTTTAACCTCGGGTATTCAACCACCTGGACCTCTTCACTGGTAGCAGAGAACTGGCACCACCTGGTCCTGTGATCCCCCTCACCCAAAAACTTAGCTCCAGGAGGCTGTTTTGGACCATCCTATGATTTCCTCCCCAACCAATTAGCCACACCAGTTCCCTACTCGCTTGCTCCAAATTGTCCTCAAAACCTTGTCTCCCAGCTTTTCGGGAGACGGTTTTGAGAATTAAATTTCCCCTCTCCCACTCGTTCGACTTGGCTAGCCCTGCAATTATTTAACTCTTTCTTTGCTGCAAAACCCTGCTGTTTTCAGTGTACTTTCGTCTTCCGGGCAGAGGCACGATGAATCTGGATGGTGATAGATTTAGCTTCGCTTGCCTTGCACCCCAGGTGTTGTCGCTATGAAACTTTCTGGACCAGGTGCAGTGGCTTATGCCGGTAATCTCAGCACTTTGGGGGGCCGAGGTGTGTGGTCACCTGAAGTCAGGAGTTCGAGACCAACCAGCCTGACCAACGTGGTAAATCCCAGTCTGCAGGTCTATACGAAAAATACAAAAAACATTACCCATGTGTGGTGGCCCATACCTGCAATCCCAGCTACTCAGGAGGCTGAGGCAGGAGAAATCGCTTGAACCGGGGAGGTGGAGGTTGCAGTGAGCTGTACTCAAGCCTGGGCAACAAGAGGGAAACTCCGTCTTAAAAAAAAAAAAAAAAAAAAAAAAAAAAATTCCGCGAGGCCGGGCTTGGTGGCTCATGCCTGTATTCCAAGCACTTTGGAGGCCAAGGCGGGTGGATCACCTGAGGTCGGGAGTTCAAGACCAGCCTGACCGACATGGTGAAACCCCGTCTTTAAAAAAAAAAAAAAAATCTGCAAGTAAATACAGAGTTGAGTCTCTGGCATTAATGGAGAGTAGAAAATAGAGGGATTTCTGTTTTGTTCTGTGGGCTATCCGTATGTAACTGGACCATCGTTGCATGCAGAGTTTGCATTCCACCTTCCAGTTTGAGTCTACTTCACAGACGATTCTAGGGCTTTTAAATTGCCAAACTTAATTTCGATAGCAGGAAGTTTCCTGGAAAATTCTAGGGCTTTTAAGTTAAATTGCTAAACCTAATTTCGATAGCAGGAATTTTCCTGGATTTAATCACAGACTTTGCTCCCCGCCCCAGGGAGATCCTGCTGAGTTGCCTCAGCGTCACTGGTTCATATCGCTTCCTTAACCGGGAATATAGAAATGCCCTGAGAGCCAGAAGAGGAAAGCACAGGCCCCGCCTCCTCCTTTTTCCCCTCCCCTCCTAATCCGCAGCTTGTTGGGCCCGCCCACCGCGCTGCGCGCGCAGCTTCCCTCAGACCCGGAAGCAGATTGAGGGGAGTGACCCCTGAGCCCCAGCGCATGCGTTTTCCGCCGTCCGTTAAGCTTAAACTTGGCGCTTCGTAGTCTTCTGGTGCTTGCATACCAGGGATCTGCAGGTTCGTACACCCCTGAAAATAACCCTCACCGCAAGGAAATCACACGTCGCCGTGACACCCGGGGTCGTGTCCGTGATTTGGGGTGAAACCGTTCTGAGGCTGGATCCGTCCCGGATCTCTGCCGTCTGGTCACGTAGACAAGTCTTTTCGTTCCATGTTCCCGTTTAAAACCTTTGCCTGACCCCCTCCTCCCGTCCCGCGCCACCTAAAGCCCTCATCCACGAGGTGAATTCGGCTCTGTCCGGTTCCCCAGCCTCGCCCTCGTCGGCCCCTGGAGCGCAGCGCCGCAGCCCGGGTCCCGGGGAGGCCGAGTCCTCTGCCTGGTCCTGGGATCCTGCAGACCCCACCCCTCTCCTAAGGCGCTGTCGCCCCCATCTCCCTGCTCGTCGTGCCGCGCCTGCTGCTCCCCAGGCCTCCCCTGAGCCCGCGTCGGGGAGGTGCCCGCGGCCTGTCCTGTGACACCTGATGTTCTTGCCTGCCCAGCTCCAGCCTCTGGAAAACGTGCTCCTCCGGGATGTAGGCGTCTTGCTCCAAACCCCCCTGTGAATGTGTGGACTCAGGGGATATGGAGACAGAGACAGGACTGAGAGAGAAGCAGAAAAACAAGAGGAAAGAATGAGGGAAACCCTGAAACCCATGGCACGGTAGACAGTGGGTGAGGGATTTGCAGAAGGAATTGAGAGAAGGAACTGTGAAAGTAACAGGGAAACAACAGGAGGGGCGAGACAGCAAAGGGGAGGCCCCTCAGACAGAGTAGGGAAAGGAGGGATTTGGAGCCGCTTCAGACAGCAGCATGGTGGTGGGACAGCGAGAGACGACAGCTGGTGACAAGGAGAGCAGGGGGAGGCCTGGGCATCGGTGGTGGGGGGGAGTGCCACAGAGTGGGGACGGGTATAACAGGGAAGAGGGAATTTAACATAGAGCGCCAAGGGGCAGCAGAAGTATATGTAGATTGGGGACAATAGAAAGATAGGGGAGAAAGGCTGGTTGCAGTGGCTCACGCCTGTAATCCCAGCACTTTGACAGCCCGAGGCAGGCGGATCACGAGATCAGGAGTTCAAGACCTGCCTGGCCAACATAGCGAAACCCCGTCTCTACTAAAAATACAAAAAAATTGTGCTCGCTTTGGGAGCACATATAGTAAAATTGGAACGATACAGAGATTAGCATGGCCTCTGTGCAAGGATGACACGAATATTCGAAGCGTTCCATATTTGGCGCACTCTGCGAAGATCGTTTCCGTATCTGCTAACCTAGCACTAAGGAAATAGTGAGATTAAGCAAAAATGGGCACCCAATAACGAAATTGTGATTTTCATTACAAAAAAAAACCCACCACACACACACACATTAGCCACGAGTGGTGGTACGTGCCTGTAATCCCAGCTACTTGAGAGGCTGAGGCAGGAGAATCACTTGAACCGGGAGGCGGAGGTTGTAGTGAGCCAAGATCATGCCATTGCACTTCAGCCTGAGTGACACACTGAGACTCTGTCTCAGAAAGAAAGATCGGGGAGAAGGAGGAGTAAGAGGCGAAACAAGTTGCAAGCATAGAGCAGAACATATGGAAGAGAAGGATTAGAAGGAAAGGGGAGAAAGAGCAGCAGAGGAGAGAGGCACAAAAGAAGGAGCAGAAATCCCAGGGGAAACGGAAAAAAGCTGGAGAGACTCAGGTGAGAATGAGAGATACAGAGTGAGGGAAGGAAACAGTCCTGACAAAAGAGGGACACAGATGAGTGGTATGTGATAATTGTGATAACATGTTGATTTCTCTCTCTTGATAAATTTAAATTTTGTCTAAATTGTACATATGAGAATAAGAATTGCAAAACTCAAGGGCCGGGCGCGGTGGCTCAAGCCTGTAATCCCAGCACTTTGGGAGGCCAGGGCGGGTGGATCACGAGGTCAAGAGATCGAGACCATCCTGGTCAACATGGTGAAACCCCGTCTCTACTAAAAATACAAAAAAAAAATTAGCTAGGCATGGTGGCACGTGCCTGTAATCCCAGCTACTCAGGAGGCTGAGGCAGGAGAATTGCCTGAACCCAGGAGGCGGAGGTTGCGGTGAGCCGAGATCGCGCCATTGCACTCCAGCCTGGGTAACAAGAGCAAAACTCCGTCTCAAAAAAAAAAAAAAAAAGAATTGCAAAACTCAGGCCGGGACCTCTCTGACCTCATCTCCTGCCTGTGTCCTCCTGGCTCGCTCTGTTCCACCCACGCAGGCCTCTTTCCTGTTCCTGGGGCGGCGGTTTCTTCTGCCTCAAGGCCTTCACTTGGGCTGTCCCTCTCCTGGAACTCCCTGGCCCCAAGACTGCAGGTGGCAAACAAGCTTCACCAGATCACTGTTCTGATATGACCGTCTCCTCAGTCCAGGCTTCTGTAACCCTCCCTCTGCCCGCCATTTGACATTCCAGCCATACCCTCACCTCAACCTCTGGTCCATACGGCCTGCTTTACATGTTTCTTTCTGCTCCTTCATGCTCCACTGCCTGGATCCTGGTGACAGGGCCTCAGGGGGACAGCAGAGCCAGAACGTGGAGGCTGTGCTGCCCTTGCTGCCACTGAATGGAGCGTAACCCTTGCTTTAGACCCCTGAGGCGTTTTGCAAATACATCTCTTTTTTGTGTGTGTGGGATGGAGTTTCTTGTCCAGGCTGGAGTGCAATGGCCCCTTCTTGGCTCACTGCAACCTCCGCCTCCTGGGTTCAAGTGATTCTCTGGCCTCAACCTCCCATAACTGGGATTACAGGTGCCTGCCACCACGCCTGGCTAATTTTTTTGTACTTCAGTAGAGATGGGGATTCACCATGTTGGCCAGGCTGGTCTTGAACTGACCTCGGGATTCACTTTCCTTGGTCTCTGAAAGTGCAGGGATTACAGGCATGAGCCACCACACCCAGCCCTCACTTGCATTTTATCGTGCTTTTCCATAAGTATAAGAGATTATCATATATAATATACTTTCTGGCCAGGCACAGTGGCTCAGCGTGAGGCTGACATAGGAAAATCGCTTGATCCTGGAAAGTGGAGGTTGCAATGAGCTAAGATTGCACCATTGCCCTCCAGCCTGGGCAACGAGAAAGAAACTGTCTCAAAAAAAAAAAGAAAAAAAAAAAATACACACACACACACACACACACATATATAGCAAAATTTTGAAGTTCTAGAATTACATTATTTAGTTCACCATATGAAAATTGTTGTTTGTGCTGTTTTTCTTTCTATCTGAATTTCAAATAAATTTCACCTGGTTCCAGACAGTGTTAAGTCCTGGTGCTGTCTAGTTCTCTGGCTCTTGTTCGCTGCCTCTTCCGTGAATCTCCACACCACAACCAGAAAATGTTCCTACTTACACTCAATATGACGTCAATAGATAAGAAGCAAAAAAAAAAAAAAAAAGGCATTAAAGTTCTAAGATTTTAAGAACCTTTCTGTGCGTATATGTACAAAGTCATTTTTCTCTATTCTGTTTACTTACTTTGAGACAGGGTCTGGCTCTGTCACTCAAGCTAGGGTGCTCAATCTCAGCTCACTATAGCCTCAACCTTCTGGGCTCAAGCAGTCCTCCCACCTCTGCATCCCAAAGTATTGGAATTTCAGCTGTGAGATACCACACATGGCCTGGAAGGTCTTTTAGGCTGACTGATGCCACCATGGACTGCATGGTAACGTCTGTGACCTGCACTTACACCTCCAGATGAACTCCTGGAACTAGAAAGTCTGAAGTAATTGGAAAACCTCAAAAGGGGAGAATGACCAACTCATGCAGTGCCTAATTAACTTTGAGACATTCTTCTATTGTTCTTTGTTCCTGCCTCAACTGATAAGGCAACTGGATTTTGTAACCGATCTTGCTCAACTGATAGGTCAACCTCGTGATTGCAGACCCTATGACCCCCTCCCAGCTTGCAAAAACCACCCTGAACTGTAACTTCTGTGACTCTCTGCTGCCTACACCAAACCTGTAAAACCGTCTCCTTTCTCACCACCCTGCACTGACTCTTTTCAGACTCAGCCCACCTGTACCCAGGTGAATAAAAACAGCTATGTTGCTCACACAAAGCCTGTTTAGGAGGCTCCCTTCATTCAGAGTACGTGTTTTAACATGGCTTATTTTTTTCCTCTGTGGGGTGACTCATGTTCTCCTGGTGATAATTATGAAGTGAAATTTCTTCCCCTTCCCTCCCCTCCCTCCCCTTTCTTCCTTTTCTTTCTTTCATTTGTTCGTTCATTTGCTCGTTCTATTTTGTGTGAATTCAAATTTATTAATTTATTATTAGGTCACTAATGTTCTCCTGGTCATAATAATGAAGTGAAATTTATTAATTTGGGATACCTACACGTTAGTTTTCATTCACTCATGAACATCTATGTATCCACCAATTAGTATTATTTTTGGTGGGGCTGGGGGTACAAGGTCTCATGCTGTCACCTAGGCCTGAATACAGTGGCACAATCTCTGCTCAATACAACCTCTGCCTCCTGGATTCAAGGGATTCTCTTGCCTCAGCCTCCTGAGTAGCTGGTATTACAGGTACATGCCACCATACCCCACTAACTTTTTTGTATTTTTAGTAGAGAAGGGGTTTCACCATGTTGGCCAGGCTGGTCTCGAACTCCTGACCTCAAGCGATCTACCTGCCTTGGACTCCCAAAGTGCTGGGATTACAGGCATGAGCCACCAGGCCCAGTTGATAGATCTACGAATTATACACCAGTAGTATCCTTTACCTCGTGTTTTCTTTTTTAAATTTGGTCATACAGGCCAGGCGCGGTGGCTCAAGCCTGTAATCCCAGCAGTTTGGGAGGCCGAGGCGGGTGGATCACGAGGTCAAGAGATCGAGACCATCCTGGTCAACATGGTGAAACCCCGTCTCTACTAAAAATACAAAAAATTAGCTGGGCGTGGTGGCACGTGCCTGTAATCCCAGCTACTCAGGAGGCTGAGGCAGGAGAATTGCCTGAACCCAGGAGGCGGAGGTTGCCGTGAGCCGAGATCGCGCCATTGCACTCCAGCCTGGGTAACAAGAGCGAAACTCCGTCTCAAAAAAAAAAAAAATTTGGTCATACATGTTTTCTTTCTTTCTTTTCTTTTCTTTTCTTTTTTTTTTTTTGAGACAGAGTATCACTCTGTCACCTAGGCTTGAGTGGAATGACATGGTCTCGGCTCTCCTACCTCAGCCTTCGGAGTAGCTGGGAATTCAGGTGCCTGCCGCCATGCCCGGCTAACTTTTATATTTTATTAGAGACGATGTTTCACCATGTTGGCCAGGCTGGTCCTAAACTCCTGACCTCACATGATCTGCCTGACTCGGCCTCCCAGAGTACTGGGATTACAGGCATGAGCCACCTCATTTAGCCTCAAAAAAGTAAGACTAGGCTGGGCACAGTGGCTTACACCTGTAATCTGCACACTTTGGGATGCTGAGGCAGGCGGATCACAAGGTTAGTATCCAGCTTGGCCAAAACAAGGAAACCCTGTCTTTTTTTTTTTTTTTTTTTTTTTTTTTGAGACGGAGTTTCGCTCGTTACCCAGGCTGGAGTGCAATGGCGCGATCTCGGCTCACTGCAACCTCCGCCTCCTGGGTTCAGGCAATTCTCCTGCCTCAGCCTCCTGAGTAGCTGGGATTACAGGCATGCGCTACCATGCCCAGCTAATTTTTTGTATTTTTAGTAGAGACGGGGTTTCACCATGTTGACCAGGATGGTCTCGATCTCTTGACCTCGTGATCCACCCGCCTCAGCCTCCCAAAGTGCTGGGATTACAGGCTTGAGCCACCGCGCCCGGCGAAACCCTGTCTTTACTAAAAATACAAACGTTAGGACTGGGTGTGGTGGCTCATGCCTGTAATCCCAGCTACTCCAGAGGCTGAGGCGGGAGGATCACTTGAACTTGGGAGGCAGAGGTTGCAGCAAGTCGAGATTATGCCACTGTACCCAGGCCTGTGTCTCAACAAAAAAGAAACACTGTGAGGGATGCTGACCTACCAGATCTTAAACCCTCCAGCTTTTGCAGGAGCAGAATAGCTGATGATTTAAGACAGCACTTCAGTCCTATGCAGAAGTGCTTGAAGGCAGTAGTGGTGTAAATACTTCTAATGATTAGTGTTGGGCTTACTGGACGTGCCTTTGAAAAACATGCATTCGTTCCTCCCATCATAACGTTCGGTCTAAAAGGTAGGTACAAATAAGTACATTTGATAGGTAAAATTAAAGATG